TAATTCTTGAGACAGTCTCTTCTGAAGGCTACACAAAATAAAGGAACCTGAGTGTTCCTGAAGTCTGACTTCAGTAACAGTGAAAAGAGAGGCTGTTTAATGAATACATTCAAGAGTGAAAAGCTTCAGAATATGGCTTTAAGAATCTATATATTCCATACTAACCAATAAGAAGAAGGGTTCCAACAGCTACGCCTCCACCTGGAAACAAAACAAAAAGAAGAATAAAGTAAGACTACACTTTAATGCTATGTTAGAGAACAATTAACTTTTCTTAGTTTATAAGTCAAAGAAAGGTGATAACGGGGAATTTAAAAATATAAAAGTGAACAACATTTTAATTACCTTTGCAATACTTACTACAATTCTCTATTATGAAATAATTATACATTACAGGTAATTACATACTGCACATTACAATTACTTTCACAATATACTGTACTATCATCATTGTGGTAAAAAGATCCTGCAGAGCTCTGTGCAACCACGCTCAAGTACTACAGTGGTGATGTATGGTCTGAGCCAGCAGATTTTTACTGGGATAACTCATGGGAGTAAACAGTCTCCAAATAAAATTAAATTAATATTAACCACTATCAAGTGATTCCACTATGGTGGAATACCACTATCAAGTGATATTCCTTTGTATCAAGAAGGATGTAAGCTAAGTGACCAGCTAAGATTTTAGTAGATTTTAGCAAATTTCCACCCAATCCTGGCTCCACTGCTTTTTATCTTACTGACATGGCAGCAAGACTTCCACCCATTGAAACCTGGACTGAGAGATCATAAATGTCACAGCACACACTATGAAAAAACATACATTACTGAAGAGATTAAAAATTTTTATAGTAGGTCTTGGACATAACTCCATGAATTTCTTTATAAGCACAGTGAAAGAACAACTCATTTTATTTTCGGGAACTCTTATTTTATTTTCTTATTTTATTTTTACACTAATTTGTAATCTGAATCTCAAGAATTACAACAGTGGAATAACCTGAAATCAGGCTGTTTTGTTTAACAATTGTGGAAGGCTGTGACAGGAAAGCTAAAAATCCCTGGAAGTGTTCAGGCTGGCCACATGTAAGCAGCCTACTGAAGTGTTTTGCATGGAAACTGCAGGATGTTGGCTGCAATTCTGTCCTGATTTAAAAGCAACTTAGCAGCAAACTAACTGATGAATCCCATCAGCACAGTATGCAAAGCTCCAGAAGTCAATTCTGAACTGCACAGATGAACTCCAGTGAACAGGATCTTTCATTTTATAAATGAAAAATCTTCGCTAGAAATTGATTCCAGTATGAGTTGGATCAACTTCTTAATCTTCAGCTTTGCTAGTGGGACTACAAATGCCTGCAGTGTCCATAATGTTGATATAATCAAAAGGAAGAAAAAAAGCAAATGGCTCTCCCAAAGGCCAAAAAGTGCTAATATTGCTGAATAATAGCACCTGAATTAAAACCAGAACAGGATCACTTTGCTATCATGCACCACAACTCGAGCAGTACTGGCACTGAAAGTGCTTAGTCAGCTACTGATTTCATAGTTCTAGAGAAGCAGATGTTTCAAGCTAAACTCCTGGGTCAAGATGTAAATACCTCAATATCTACAGCAAGTTGATCAGGTTATTAAGCATTTTCTAGATATTAAATAAAAAACAAACAACAAACCAATTTTAACTGCTGTTTATCAATAAGTTAGAATCACCCATGAAATCCCCAATGATTTTTGATCCATTTATTTCTTCAGGAGATAAATGCAAATGAACCTAAAAGACATACCAGAGGGGAAAGCAAAAAAAATAAAACCAACCAAAAAAACCAAAGAAAAAAAGACCAAAAAAACCCCAAAATCTGAAATCATACTCATGTTTGACACAAAGTATGCTTCCAATAGTCACTGCATTGAATTGTTCAGGGAGCCAGAACACACAGGTTACCAACAACAGCTGTTTGAAATGAGCACGTGCTCTATACAGCCCATAGGAAAGAAAAGCTCCAAATGTTGAGATTTTACCAAATCCTAGGTTGACATGGAAAATATGATTAGAGCCATGAGTAAGGGAGTAGCTCATGGCAATAATGACTTTAAAACCTTGGTTAGAGAAAAGTTCACTTGTAGCCATGACAGTAGGGTCTCTTCTGCTTTTACAATGAATTTGTTTGTCAACCAGTGCAGTCAGAATTCTCTCAAGCTGCATTTTCAGATCATCCATGGGCTACAAGGCAGAGCTGTAACATATGTGCACATGCCCTGGTTGTTAAAGGCAAACTCAGGTCAGAGCATTGGCTTTACTTTATCATTGAGTGGTTTGAACAAGTGTCTTCTACTGGAGGGAATGCAAAAATATTGCAGTGACCATGGTTACACCTTCATGTTACAACCAGCAACAATACTAGTCAATTAAACAAAAGGCAACAGGAAAAAATAGTAGGAATGCTGATGGAATCTAAAGGAAGAGGCAAAATCTATGTTTCCCAAGAAAGCTGCTGTGAACTTGTCATTCTTCCCAATCTCGCTATTTTCATTTTTCTTTGCCAGTATCTGAGACAGTAGAATATATAAACATCTGAGCAAAACTTGTAATTTTCCACATTGCTACTTACAAGAGAGATTTAAGATCTTATGGAGAGAAGCACAACAAACTTTGCAAGCTGAGAAGTGCCCAGATTGTTTTCAAAGCATATGCCTGACCTTTTTTCCAGCAGACTGAAACAAAACATTTAATACCAGGCATGTGATGGTTACATTACATGGTTACATTACACAATAGTGTAATGTAACCATCACAGAGAACTGCTCTGGCACACATATGGCCCATAAACCTTGAAAGTAAACTTACAGAAATAAACATAAAATGTATAAATTTATAAAACAGATATAAATTAAAATATAAAATAAATAAACTCTGGAAGTGCAGAGTGCTCTGATGGTAACATTGCATTGGAAATCCAGCACTTATCTACCACTTCACATCCAAAGGAAACTCACTCCTTTAGAGTGGGCCACAAAAATGTAACCATCAGCTGTAGGGTGAAAGAAACTCCTCCTTGGATTCCTGCCTTCTCCTCTCTTCAGCAGCTCCTCACTGTGTGTGATAACACCATGCTTTCCCTCACTCACAGGCTGCACTTTCCTGTCTGGCAAATAATTCTGTATCTGGGTTACTGATTTTGAGCAGAGCAAAGTTAAACTCAAGCCCAAGCCAGAGATCTACAAGACTGCCTAGTGACCGTTACAAAGTATGTCTATGAAAATACCAGACTAAAAGAGTTTGTACTAACTTCCATTGGGAATTTATACCAAAAAAAAAAGATTGCCCTCAATCCCTGGTGACAGCAAAAATTATTTTTATAGTCAATTATTTGATTGCTAGTGGGCAGGACAAAAAAAGAACAGTACCAATGCTCTTTCAGAAACACATAAACAGCATTCTGCAACACATTCATGAAGCATTTCCACACTAGAAAAAGGGCACAAAGCAGACCAAGTCAACACCTGCAGTCACCAGCACAGTGGGCTCAGGTTTTGGCTTTTCTGTTTTTCNTTCTGTGATTCTGTGAATGCAGCATTCCTGCCTAGAGCCTGCCCTGGAAATTAAGAAGGAAAATTATTCCATATCAGACAACAGAGCTGGGTAAGGCACAGCAAACTGACTGACCCCAGACTCAAAGTGGTACAAGGTGTATGGCAGATGTATGTAACAGAGTTATCACATAAAAGAGCCAGAAAAACCATGACAGGGTATGAAAAACTGAATTAAAGGTGAATGAAAGAAAAATAGAATGTGTATTAGCTACTCCATTTCAAGAAAATTTAATGCAATGCAATAAAAATACTAATTTGGATAATTAAATCTCAATGAGAAAAACAACTGCAACAATTGTATATCATTGTATCATTAGGGAGTCAATACTTGATTGTTAGTTATTTAAAACCACTTAATTAAAAAAAATATAGCACATTCTTATGTAATTTGTACTTGAAAATAAAATTTTAACTTGTTTGTTTAACCTTTATTCTAAATCAAAAGTGAGAAAAAATTTCACCCTTAAATGAACCTTCTTCAGGTTTAGGAGCACTGAAAAACTGATTTTTCACAAGCACAATAATTTAGTTTCATTAAGAATATTTTTTTTTCCTGAATACTGAAGATAATGTTCAAGAGGTAAGGCATAGAATTTACCATTCCTAGGTAGGAAAACAGAAGAGCAATCATTTTGTCCAGAAATAGTCTCTGAAGACACTTAAGGAAATAGCCAGACTTCACTTGATGCAGAAGTAATCAGGAAATTATATGTTACTTCTGATATTAGGAAAACGCAGCCTTAGAAAGACATAAAATATTTAATGAAATTTTGCAGGATTATCCTCACACTTCAGCATTTTTTGCACTGTTGCTCAGGCTTTTTCCCTTATGCAATTTTCTCATGACAGAAACTATCAGTGTTTGATTGGGAGTCCACTGAAGTCTGGAGGGATCCTTTCTGTGTGACCTGATCCAAAGCTGACCAAGTTCCCTAGCACAAAAAAGAGTCAGAATGAAATGTAAGTGTAAAGGAAATTGTAAAGATGTTCAATGATGTTTCTATTTTCTACAGGAAACTTCAATAAATATCCACACAAACTGTACACTGTTTCTACCACAAAATACTGGAGGCAGCTTAACTACTCTTCCTCCTGGGCAGGAGGAAACTGTAAGCAGTTTGGTTTACTGAAACCATCCCACTAAGCCAGTGGAATAAAGAAATAAAATAAAGAATAAACAGGTTCCAAGCCTGATTTGGCCTTGGGAGGATCTTACTCCACTGTCCATGGATGGGAGGGAAAGACCTGAATTTAATTCCCAAATCTGGCTAGTGTAAATACTCCCAACACATTCTTATGAATCACCAAGATTAATTCATTTGTTGCTACACAATATGTACACTTTAAAATGCATTTAATTCATCAAGAAATTACAGCTTTACTTAGCAAAAGCAATGAGTCTTATTTACCTTCAAAATGTTGTCAGGATGCTCTTTGGCAGAAGCAACAAACAGGTCATGTCCACAGACAATTCCCTCTGCGAGAAAATACTTGAACAACAAATTGGAGTAAAGGCCATATTTATCCTCCTCTGTGAAAACAAGAATGGTTGGATTTTCTTTTGTTAGATAAATTGCCCACCTGTAGGTTCACAACACTGTAAAAGGCCTCTTTGGGTCTATCTCCTGGAGTATAGAATTTACACCAGAGATCAAAGATAAAATAGGACACCAAAACTTTTAAAATAATGCTTGATAAGACTGTATTTCAAATCTTTCAAGCCAGAGGAATAGTCCTCAATCAGGTATTTGATTCTAAGATATGGATGGGACACAGCCTCCCTACATGGCTTCCCATCAGTATCAACTAAGATGGCTGAATTTATGGATTAATGGCAAGGGGCTCCTTAATTTAGGAAAACTATGTTAACATTTATATTCCTAATGCTTAAAATCTGCTTAAAATATTTGTTACCTGCTGCTTTTCAAAATTCAGCCATATTTGGCATGCTAAGCCTATACAGAGGTAACATTCAGAAGAGACATTGTTATGTCAGCATTTATTCCAAAATTGTGAAAATTACAAAAACCAAATGGATGTATTGAAGAAACCAAACAATTAGCAATGCTTTTTTTGAAACCTAACCAATGCAAATTCAGAACTAATTCAAAATTCAAAAGACTCATGAATTTGCAGTTTAAACAGTGAGACAATGCTTGTTAGCAGACACTGTGAACACTGGCCCACTGAAATGAAAACACAAACTCTGACTCCAGAGAGAGCAGCATTTCCTTCAGCTTCCCTGGTGCAAGTTAAGAGTCAGAAATTAGCAGAATTAGGAAGTCTTAATGAACTCATACAATTAAAACTCAGCATAACTTCAAGCTGCTGGAAGTGGATGTGTGCACAACAACTGAAATCTGAACCATCTCTGATTTTTTTGTTCTTTATTTGTAGGAAGTACAAACAATAACAATACAAACTGTTAATGCACTTTATGGTTTGTGGGAAAAAAATGAATGGGCTACATTAGGTTTTACTTTTTCATCTCTTAATCTGGAAGCTGAAAGACAACACACAGGGATGCTAAGGCAGAAAAACACAGAGAGATATTTCTTTATACAGAACGAAAAAAACTCAATTTATTATTTGTGTGACTTGGAAAATATTCCCTAACTACACATATGAAACAGTAAAATTAAAAATAAAAAAAAAAACAGTAACAAAGAGAGAAAATGAAAAAGGCATTCATATCCAACTTGTAAAAAACAGTAAAGAGGAAAATAAAAATACTCCAACTTTGACATGTACCGCAATCAAATGAATCAATGGAGTGAAGGAGAAAAGGAGAGGAGGAAAGTGCATATCCATGAAGGAAAATGAAAACCAATAGCAATGGGGAAACCTAGGAAACAAATCACAGGGAAGTGTTCTTGCACTGCTACACTCCTAATATCTTGCACGTGTACTGCTCAGTTCTCAGATTAACAAGAAATTCAACCCACAAGTGCTCAAAACCACTGGAGAAAACCCAGTTCTTCAAGATATATTCCCCAACCTCCATGGGATATTAGGCAACACACAATTTATTTCCTGCTTTTTTAAACTTCACTGTTAAATTCAGTATTTGGGATAGTAGAGTCACTAGAAGTTAGTCTAAAGCAGTAGCTCAAAACAGAGAAAAATGTTTCATAATCCAAGCACTAAGACAGGAAATGACATAAATCTGGATATCCAAACAAGCCAAAGGGAATACAGTAACAAAAACACTCTTACTAGTAGTACTAGCTACTCTGCAGTTTGCTGTAGAGTTTTAGGCTTTTAATAACTTAAACTGCATTAACAGAACTTACCTTTGATACTGCTGACCTGCTTAGGAGGCCATATTACCCTTAAATGTACTTCCAATAACACATTGACTTTTTTTTTATTTTTAATAAGAGTCTTATGATAAATATGGACAGCTTTGAATCATAAAAAGCACAGGACTGACAAAACCTTACTGGTGACAGTACTGGGTTCCTTGTCAAAAGTTCATCAGGATGGATTTCCAAACTGCAATTTACTTGAGAATTTGGAGCTTTTAACTATTAGATATATTAGATATAGTATATGTATATCTAATAGAGGTAAGTAGATATAGTATATCTATATCTAATAGATAACTAACTATATCTACCTACATAGTATATCTAATAGATATATAGATATATCTAATAGATATAGATATAATAGATATGCTATACTATAGTATATCTAATATATATATATTAGATGCAGTTTATTCTTTCATCCTTATAAAGCCATTATTAATCTTACTGAAGAACTGCCTTCCTAACTCCTGATAAGCCTGGGGATGTAGAGCCAGCTATGAGACTCAGGTGGACACAAGGCTCAATCAGCTAAAACTGAAACACTCCCACTGCAGAAACAAAAGGCAGAACTGACACTACCTAAGTTTTGAGGAAGTATTATGGTCATATTTTGTAAATAGTCTTTGTAGCCTGCTTAAATCTTAAATCTTAAACTGTTTCAAGAGGGAAATAAAACCCCATTGCTGTATAAATGTCCCTTGTAACTGGAGTCCAGACCCCTGACAGCTCCTGCCCCCTCAAACATTGGCTCTCTCTGGTTATTCTTACTGCTTTATCAGCAGTAATATATTATTCACACTATATTGATTTCCATGTGCTAATCTCCAACTATGAAGCTCTCAATTTAAGAAGTAAAGACCTCTAGAAATCAAAGTGGCAACATGAGCTCTACATTTTTTGTTTTAAATTGTCTGAGGTACCTGAAAGAAGCCACCCAGGCTCCCCTGTAAGCACATCACTGTAGCAGATGTCACTGGAGGGAGACAATTTTGTTAGATCTCTCTCCCTTTGAACAAGAGAGGAGAAGAACACTCATCAGGCACTCTGGAGGGATCCTCAGCTGCAACATTTACATCATCCTTGCTGAATGAAAAATCTTGGCTTCTCAATTTTTAACCACAGGTTAAAGTTCGCCTTCTTCACCATCTGAGGCACAGAAACACTGAGTTGATATGTATTTAACTGACATTTAATGGAAAAGAAGAAAGTGTCTCATTTAGTCCGAGTGTTTTATGGCTTGAGTCTGTGTGTAGAACTATACAGACAGTCTTTCTGATAATAATTACTCCTTAGAAAATAAAAAATGTACTCAATTTCTTGTGCCAAACATAACAGAGAAACTCCATAAAACATGGATAAATACAAGAAATCATATGATGTGTTGGTGATTATTTAACTAAGCTAAGAAGAAATATGGCTGTAATAGTTAAAAAGAATTTTTCTCAAATTTTATTTGAAATGCTGAAATGTTAAAACATATTGTAGAAATAAAACCATGAAGAACTAGTATATAAACATTTTAAGTGACTTATTGGGATTCTAATTAATTTTGTTGATTCACTGATTTATTTGTAATATAACAGGGCTAGAGAGATGCTTACACTGCCATACTCTTCCAAAACATATTTTCCAAAACAACAAGGAATGTTCAAGTTAGCAAATTAAAAACACATTCAGTGTAAGGACACATCATTTTAACATAAGCCTTTCCCTTCTTCTTAAATTTTCATTAGAGTAAACTTGCAGTAAAAAAATTAAATTAAGAATTGGAAAGTGATCTAAATATAAACCACCTCATAGTTTCCTACAGTACTCTAAGGATTAGATGTGTCTCAGAAAGCCTTTACAAACAGTCTATCTGGAATTGTTAAAGTCAATGCATCTGTAAGAATCCCTCAGTTCTTCAATTTGTCAGCTAGAGGATGCTTTTTATTGATTCATTTCTAGGTCACTAAACTTTTGTGGTATTCAAAAGATCTAAAGTGCATCCATATGGGGCTTTTCTGATAGCATCCATTGTACCCTGCCTTCAATAGTTACATTCAAAACCAAAGGAGCACAGCTTTCTTCTTGTAAATAAACAAACAAATCACTTAGCACAGGTACTTCAGCAGCTCGCTGATGCCTTCCACAGAATCCCAGAATGAAACACTTTCCTGAGAATGCCTGAAGTTAGCATTTGAATGACTAGGACTAATTTTCAGCTGTTACCTTTATCTTTCCAAACTCCTCCACATCCAAAAGAACCACCTTCACTCAGAACATGCAGGAACAACACTTCAGATTGTTTTAGTCCATACTTAGGACAAGCCTGGCCCAAGAGAGCTGGTCCTTCATTGTGAGCTTCACTTCCAGCTACCAAGGCACAGGAACAAATGAGGCTCCTGCAGCTGCAGCCTCTTCTGGGTGCAGTCCCCACAAGTCACACACAGCACTGAGCAGCTTTGGGCCATTCTTTTGGAACAAAGAGGGTTCTCCAGCTAAGCAGCAGGTGAGTAGCTAGTGAAGCATGAAACTACACAAGGAAAAGAGATTATTTACCTAGAAGTTACGCATATTGTATCCAAGACAAAAGCTCCTCTGATCCTGCACATAAGGACATAAATAAAATAGTCTGTTGTGACTATCCATGGGTCTCTTTCCTCATGAGTGTGCTTTCCTGGCTGGAACAGTCATGGAGAAAGAGCAGGATTGTCACTACAAGCACAGGGAATTCCATATAATAGAATATATATATATAAAATTCCATATCATATATAATATAATATATAATATATAATATAATATAATATAATATAATATAATATAATATAATATAATATAATATAATATAATATATTATATATTATATATTATATATTATATATTATATATTATATAATATATATATTATATAACATATATTATATATATAATATATATAATTCCATTCATCATATAACCCTATAGCTGAGCACTAAGGATAAAGAGCAATTCCTATTTAGGGGGCTTTTCAGCACTGCTCTGTATAGGCTACTGTGGAGTCTTTGCTTCTTTTTTTTTAGGGTTGGCATTAAATAAATTCTTGTTGAGACTCAGATATTCATTAGTTTTCATTTATATTACAGTCGTAATAATTAATTAATTTAATTATTAAATTAATATTAATTTAATTATTAAATTAAATTAATTATTAATTAGTTTTCATTTATATTACAGTCTTATATTACAGAACTGTGAGTTCTACAGTACTTCACTCAAATAAACTAAAAATGGAGCTGTATCTTTCTCTACAAGGCCTTTTAAGGATAAACTGTCCAGTTAGGAAATTACACCTAAACTATTTTTACTTTTAACCCAATAACTAACTACTCAGCTGCAATGTGGACTTTTTTATCTAATTACACAATATTACCCAAAACCATGGAGAAGGTGAAGAAGGAGGACCAGCCTCCACCCTAAAACTTATACCTTGTTTTACATATATTACCATATTCTAAAACTTAAGATTTTTAAGTTTTCTACTAGGCAATATTATACACTTCTATTTAAACTACACACTTAAAATCTCAGTTTTATCATTCAGTTTTGGAAGACTTTTCTACAGCCTCAGGTGAATGCAGTGCTCTCTTGGGGCTCAGTGCCTGTGAGCACAGAAAGTCTGAAATTCTCAGTAACCAGGGTTCCAGCAGGCTACCAAACACATAAGGGACATTTCTCCACACCTGTCTGTAGCTACTACTCAAAGAAATTCATGGGCTGTAGAATTAGGTCTAGGATCTTAAGCCTTTTATCTAGGGCACAGAAAAAAAAGAGAGCAGATGTGTGCAAGGCATTGTAAAAACAATTTATTTAAAAATTAAGAAATTTAATTCTAGAATTATTGATATGTAACCATGTGAGCTTAAGGAAAAACTCCCACTGCACAGAGGCATTCATGCTCCAAGAGAGGGATGCAGAATAAGCACCACTAGAACTGGAAGAGGAGTAAAAGGTCAGGAACAAAACCCACCATAAGGTAACAAACATCATATCTATAAATACTGTATTTATAACACCTGACTTTCAAACATCACTACACTAAGCAGCATGAAGGCCTTTGAAAAACTCCAGTGGTCATTTGTAGTAGAATTGTTCAAAATGATGAGAGCTGTAACAAGAATAAGCCTGCAACAATGTAATGTACAGATGGCTTATTTTTTTTTTCTCTCTACAAAGTCTAGACAGGTTGCCCTAAAGCTGCCAAAAGCCTGTCATAGCCTATCAGTATTGATAATTTTTTTATCAGATAGATGCTTCTACACTGTGGTCCTGTGACCTAAGGTGTGTCTTTCTCCAGCTATGAAACATCTCTCTAAATTGCTGCAGGTTATAAAATGAGATTATTTTATTAATCTCAAATTCCATTTAAAGATACTTTTCTAATGTCCACGTTTACTAAGCTTGAGGGGATATACTTTGTGTCACTTGCATTTAATTAGCACATGCCAAACCAGAGTTGTCAAACACATAAGTTACAATATTTGGCATTTAGCCATACTTCAGGAAGGTGAATTCTGCTAACTAGTATTTTGTAGGATTATATTTAGCAAATGACTGTTTTGTACCTCTCTTGAGATTATCTTTTTCAGCTTTAAAAAGATGATAAATTCAGTTATATTGGCAAGTGAAGAGAGCTCTTACCAGTCAGGTTAAATTGCACGCCTATCAAAAATAAAAGTAGCTAATTAAAGCAGCTGAAACTTCTCCAAGGCTTAGAATGTGCAAGTATAGACCTGTTTTTCACCAGACAACTTTAACTTTTAATAACTGACCTCAGCTACCAACAAAACTCCTCCTACTGAAAATCTTTAAAACATTTAGCTGTCAGTGACTTTGTCAAAACTGGGGCTTTTAAAGGTGAGCAAGAGTAGGTTCTTACAGGGTGCCCAGGACACCTCTAGTGAGGGCGCTGCAGCTCACTAGGCACAAGGTGTTATATAAAAAAAGCTTACCTTTAAAAACAAAATAACAATTTTAAATGTTTTTTAAAATATTTTTTNCACTGCATTTGACCTGAGGCTGTGGAGAAAGCTTCCAAAATGGAATGACAGAACTGGGACTGTGGGTGTGGAGTTTGAATAGAAGTGTGTGATATCATAGGGGGAAAACATAAGAGTTTAGGTTTTTAGAATATAGTGATATACATAAAGCAAGATGGAGGTTTTAGGGTGGAGGCTGGTCCTTCTCCTTTACCTTCTTCTCCTTGGGTTTGGGTGGGTTTGTGTAATTGGATAAAACATCCACATAGTGGGCTATGAATGGTTGATCATTGGGTTAAAAGTAAAAAATAATTTAGGTGTCATTCCTTAATTGGACAGTTTATCCTTAAAAGGCCTTGTAGAGAAGGAGATACAGCTTCATTTTTAGTTTTAAGTGCTACAGAACTCAGTTTCTGAGACTGTAGAATAAGAACCCATAAACATCTGAGTGCCAACAAGAAATACCATCTCACACATTTAATCCTGACCCTGACAAAAAAGAAGCAAAGATTTCAGCTGAGTTCTTCACTGAGGTGCAGTGGGAGGGCAACAAGCAACAAATGGGAGCTGAAACTGGGGAGGCTCCCAGTGGATATAAGGAAAAAGAAGATTCCCTACAAAAAATAATCAAGCATTGGGCTGGGTTACCCAGAGGTGCTGCAAAATCTCTGCCACTGCAGATTTTCAAGACTCCACTGAAGACAAGGAGAATGTAGAAGGGATCCTGGGTTTATTGGAAGTGTTCTCAGTTTCCATAACAAACCACTAATTGTGTTTGCAGGTGCTTAGAATTTTAGGAGACAGCCACCATGGGAGCTGTCTACATCTTCTGAGCCATGCTGTGCAAAATGCACTGTTTCTGAAAGGGAATCTGAACAGGAATATTCAATGCAAATCTGCTTTTCATGCAATTAAAAGGCTTCACAAATTGCACTCACTTCATGAAATATTTCTCAAGCAGGAAGAGCTTCTTCCACAATGACCCTAATCCCTGATGAAAGTGCAGACAAACACACACAGAAAAATTATATACAGGCTGCAAAATGTCCTTTACACAGTGGATATGACTTTTATATCATCATTGATCATACAGAGCATCCCTAGAGAGAAAAGTGACATATTCTGTGTACTCCAAGGATGGATGAACAAAGCTAAAATCAGGCTGTTCTCACCTAAAAGTCCCATGTATGTACATTAAAGATGCACTGCAACTCTGTGAAGAGTTAGAGGATCAGCCAGATAAACAGCAGTAAATGAATGAGCTCCCAAGCCAAGGGAAAGTGCCAGCTCCTGACGCGGATGGTACAGCAGCAGTGACAACAGATGAGTCCCTGGGACCATCTCACAGCGAGAGGCAGCAAAACCAGCCTCACACCAGAGCCATTCATCTCAGGGGGCACTTGAACCGTGCGCCGTGCTGAGCAAGACAGAAAAGACAAACTGAGAACCCCAACACATCCCAACACCTGCGGGGCGGAGACCCCGAACACAAATGCAAAAGCTGGGACATATAAATATCTTTTCTCCAACAGAGAGAGACAAAAAGTGAGCAGTGTTCATACAGCAGGGGAAAAGGTTTGCTTTCCTGAACCCTGGCAATGCACACACGGCTTTCCAAGGGGAAAACCCAGCCACACATGGCGTTCCAAGGGGAAAACTTGGCAATACACTGCTTTCCAAGGGAACTCGGGAGCACACACGGCTTTCCAAGGGGAGAACCCTGGCAATGCACACACGGCTTTCCAAGGGGAAACCCAGCCATACACGGCTTTCCAAGGGGAACCCTGCAGCACACACAGCAGCTTTCCAAAGGGAAACCCTCGAAACACACACGGCTTTCCCAGCCCAAAACCAGCAGCACACACGGTTGCCCAAGGGGAACCCGGTAGCACACACGGCTTTCCAAGGGGAGAACCCTGGGAATACACACACGGGGAACCCAGTGGCACACGGCGTTCCAAGGGGAAAACTTGGCAATGCACACACGGCTTTCCAAGGGGAACCCAGCAGCACACCAGCTTTCGAAGGGGAAGCCAGGCTTTAGAAGGGGAAGACCCTGGCAATACGCACACAGCTTTCCAAGGGAAACCAGCCGCACACACGGCTTTCCTTCCAATGGGAACCCAGCAGCACACCCGGCTTTCCCAGCCCAAAGCCAGCAGCACACCCGGCTTTCCCAGCCCAAAGCCAGCACCCTGCCCGTGGCAGCGCCAATCGCCCCGGCCATGTGCCGCTGGGAGAAGTCCCGGAGCGGCTCCGCAGGGCTGTCCGCAGCGATGGCAGCGCGGCTCCTCCGCCAGCTCCAGCTGGGACACCCGACCTGCCTGCCCCGTCCTCCTGCCCCTCCCGCCCTCCCCGCGATCCCCGGGATGAGGGGAGGAAGGAGCAGCCTCGGGAGCAGCCTCGGGAGCAGCCGCGGGGTTACGGGAGGGCAGGCAGGGCCTGGCAAAGAGGAGGGCGGCGGGGGCGCAGCTCCGGATCCCAGTCCCGCTCCCACCAACCTAGCACACAGTCCAGGGAGGGCAGCCCGCTGGAGAGCAGCAGCTGCCCGTGGCGCACCGAAGGCCGAGTGCCCGGCAGCGCGGGCGGCCGCGGGCCGGCCCCGGGCCTGCGCTGGAAGCTGGTGCGGCCCCGCTCCCCGCCGGCCGCCGCCATGTCGGGGCCGGGCACGCCGGGCCGGCGCTCCGCCAATGGGGGAGCGGCTCGGGGAGCCGCCGGCCAATGGGAGCACGCGGTGTTGGCACGTGCGGAGCCGGCGGAGGGCTGCGGGGCCCGGCTGCGGACGGGGAGGTGAGAGCGGCACCGGGGGGAAGCGGGGCTGAGGGCACACCGGGGCACACCGCGGCCTTGCCGGGGCTGAGGGAACACCGGGGCACACCGGGGCTGGCAGCGGGCACGGAGCGGCGCGGGGAGTGCGGTTCGGGTGCCGTGCAGGGACACTCCGCTTGTCCCGTGCCTGCAGGGCCGGGGTCGCACAGGCTCGCCTGGAGAGGCATCAGCCCCCTCGGAAAGAGCCTGAAAGGGAAAAGTGTTTATAAAATGTATTTTCTTAACATAATGTGAGTATACTTGGGTCGCTGCTTGGTTGTGCATAGGCACAGACCTGTACAGGCGTGGGGTTTAATGCCTTCACTTGGCAGCAAGATCTTGTGTCGGCGTGCACCAAGACGTGTGGTGGGAAAAGTTAAAGGATATTAAAATGCTTTGACAAGTTCTAGTTTGGTTTGTCAGTCAACGCTCTGTGTTCTGGTGCTCTGAAAGCAAGGGAAGCCCTGTCAGTGTAGAGAACAGCCACTACCACAAGTGGTAGTGTATTTTTATGTTTGTTTTTCATGTCGGTCATTCAGGTGCATCCAAGCTGCCAGAAGGCTCTTGTATAAAATATAAAAACCAAGCTTTAATACTGTAATCCCTCACTCTCAGCCTTTCATTCCAGTGAATCGTGTGTACTGTCATTCTAAGCCAAGTTTCTGAACACCTGTGGTTCTTGAGTCGCTTTTTAATTGAGGGGAAAAAATCCTGGTGTTAAATATGAGCAGCATGAAAGAGCAGCGATATGTGGGCAGTCCCGGACCTCAGAGTTTTCCCTTCGTACCCAATTCAAATTCAGGAGCATGAAACTTCAGCATCATGTGGCCCTGGCTGGGGAAAGGATGTTCTTTTTGCTGCTGGCCAAGCTCCCACACGTGCTGAGCAGGAGACAAATCAAGATCTTTTATCAGGAGTATCAAGACGTTGCCTTAAGATTTTCTGCTAAGCTGTGAAATACTGGGTAATACTATATTTTAAGTAGAGATTATTGTTTAGTGAAAGTTAGAAGTGTCTGTCTGTAGAGGAGAAGATCAAAGGAGCCTGGAAACCATGGCAAGAAATAAACAAAGCTGTTTAATTTCACTTCTGGAATATGTGACCAACGAGGTGCGAATATCTGGAATAGGAAATGCCAACAAAATAAAGACCCAAAGCGCAATCCACAATTCTTTTAAAAGGGTTTGGGCCTCTGTTTCTGTCAGTGGGATCGTGTGGTGTGAATTCTGTCTGACTGGAGGCTGAAACTTAGGGAGAGTTCTCTACTTTCAAACATCACAGTGACTCTGCCTTTTCTTGTTGTACTGTGCTCCTGGAGCCCAAATCCCTGAATATTTCAGGTGTGTGTGACACAGCAGTTGCAGGGTATCTGTGATTTATCTGTGAGATCTTTGTTACAGAAGCTCAGGACCCAGTGATAAGGATAACTGATAAATCAGTGCTTACCTGTCAGAAAGGTGAGCAGTGATAAGAGAAAGAAGATCCAGTGATAAACTGCACCTACTCAATCTCTGGGATGGTTTTTTCCCATTCCAAGCTGTACATTTTCTTCTCTTCATTAACACAAAGTATTTCCTTGCTTTATTGTTTCTTTTAATTGAAATACACTATTGTGGGTTAACTTGACATAGATCAGGGCTGAGCCCTCTCTTTTGTTCTTTCATTACTACTTGCCTGCCATGTAAGGGTTTTTTATAATTTTTAACCTCATTTTCCTACAGGCCAATTAAAAGTGGAGGCTAAATAATTCCTTCTCTTTTTTTTTTTTTCCTTTTTTCTCTTTCCTATTGGAAAGTGAACAGACATAATGAAAGTATTTTGCAAATGGGAACTCTTGTGCCATACCCCTCCCATTTTTAGTGTTTCTTGGCTAAACTGCACATTTCCAGACAATCCTCACTGGCTCAGGAGCTGATCCAGTGGGTCAGGGTTGCAAAAGAGGAAATCTCACTCCCTGCTCCTCCTCTGTTTCCAATCCAGCAAATTCTGGTGCTGGTCAGTTCCCTCCTTGGGCTGGTTGAGCTCACTAAACTGATTTAGAGCCATCAACTGATTTTCTCAATAATTTTATTTTGTGCCATCCTGTGAGCTGGTGCTGCATGCAGGAGGGCAGCCCAACCTCCCAGAACTTTGTAGTTATTTCAGAATAAAAATTGGATTTTTACATTTTAAAAAATGGGTTTTTACATAAAGTGATATTTTTGTTACAATTTTTTTTGTAGATATCCTTCCAAATATAGAGAAATGGTGTCTTACATGGTAACAGCATGAGAGACTGTTTCATAGATAACAAAAATAATGAAGTAGATGCAATTTTTTCAGTATGAGAACTGAACTTTTAAAATATAGCAGTAGTTCTGTTGGTGATGTTCATTTTTCCCCAGTCACATTTGAACCTGATGGGTGCAGTTAAAGTCCTACTGATTTAGAAAGTGGGTGGAAATAAGCTATTTTTCAGATATTAACATTTTAATACAATGCATATGTGCTTATGGAAATACTGCTTATAACATCTGACTGTACCTGTATTTCAGACAAATTTCAGAGAAAGAACTCATTTAATGCGAGTTTAATTTCAGATTTTTTTAGCTGATTACTTTTAAATCAACGGTGTTTCATTTTCAGGAATAACAATATTTTTTTTTCACCCTTTTTGAGTCATACTGAAAGTTTGCTTATATGCACATGTCCAGTTTTGAAAAGGTGAATTTTCAGTGGCTGTAGAAGATTCCACTAGAATGTTCTTCAGACTTTCTGGCAGAAAGCAAGACCCCAGCAATTGTGATTGTAGACATTTCCCTGACATTATGAGGTAGATAAATCCTAAAGCTCCTGCTCTAGGGGTGGGATGGAAATGCAGAGACTGAGGAACATGGAAGTGATTTCCAGTGCTCAGGAAGTGTCTTAGGGAGATATTTCTTATCATCTGAGCTATGGCAATGGACAGGGATCCTACTCAGCTCATTGCAGAATGGAGAGGTTTAAACATTTTTAGTCTGGTTTGGGATGTCTGAAACTGTAGAATAATGAACTTTCCTTGCTCACAGCTCACATGGTGTCACGTAGAGCTGGTCAGATGGGGATGTCAGTTTAACTGCAAATCCTAACTGTGCTCTGGAGAAATCAAGCTCTCTGTTTTCCTCTTGCAAACTTGCTGGTCCAATTCAGCTACTTGCAGATTCTAAGATGGATTGAAAGGATTTTGGGGGAAAATTCCCTTAGGGAAAAAAAATAAAAAATTGAGGGAATACAATGGAAAACAAGAGAGCAGTCAGAACATTTGGGGAAGGGTTATGCATGGAATTTGATCTGCAAGTATGTGTGACATTTCTCTTCCAAAACTGTAGCCTACAGACTTGGGGAAAATCCTGGTGTCCCCAGAACAGCAGCCCTTGAAGTATTTCAGCTTTTCTATTTTTCCCATTCTGTGCTGCTTTAGTGTGTGGATCTGGGCTTCACATTCAGGGATGGTGAGCTCTGTGCACAGAGCAGGGAGACAAAACAATTCCTGCTCCAGCTGGGCACCAAGGACAAATGATCCCAATCTCAGCCCCAGAGCACAAACACCATGGGCTGCAGAGAGAAAAACAAGCAGGGTGGGAGTGCCTGGGCTAAAGCTGGAATGGGACAATGAACTGCAAGGTGCAAATGGAGCAGAACTGATCCCAGGGAGAGAGCCCGGGAGCGCTCGTGGATTTTGGGGCCATTTTGGTTCATCTTGGGTGCAGCCCTGGCTGGGCTCTGGTGCTGCCCAAGGTGGATGCATGGAGGAGATGCTTTGAATCAATCCCTGCTTTATTCTGTAGCTCTGCCCAGCCCCTGCTCCAGGGCAGCACAAGGCATCAGCTTTGGTGACCATGAAGGGACAGAAGGTGTCAGTAAGAGGAGCACACTTGTCCTGGCCTCCCTTCACCACCTGGGTTGCCCACGTGGGCTCACCGGGCGAGTTAACACCAAGCACTGTGTGGGGAGGTTCCTCACCAGCAGGGTGTTTGTTACTGCTGATGGATGTGTTCTGATGTCTTTACTTTCAAATCAATGGTTTTGCTGGATTTTAGTTGTGCTGCAAAAGATTCATGTATGTTCTTGTCTTTGAACAAAATGCTCTTCATTTTGGATTGATAAATAAATAAATAAAACACCAGCCCATTTTATTTCAAATTAATTTCATTTATATATGTCTGCCAGACCAGCTTTCAGTGATATTTTTCTGTTGGATTTACGTGTGGGACAGAGAACCAGAAAAGCACATCCCAGTAGCTGTTGTAACTCATAATCTTATTAGAGTTTGCAGTTCCATGGCCAGGCTGCTTCTCTCATCAGTCGTGGAATGTGCTGGTTTTAGACTGCACTGATTAAAGTTTTCCAGGCACCAAATCAGATTAGGCAGCGAGTCACCTGCCCAGTGCTGTGAGCCACGCCCTGCTGAGCTCCTGCTGGCAGCTGAAACAAGGTAGTTTGCTTTGGAGATGTTCTTAAGCACCTAACAGCATGGGTCGTGGATTATGGCTGCAAAGAAGATGGCTTCATTTTCCTGATCTTTGAACTAGCTGCAATGGGATAAATTTGAAAGTGCAGGATCTTCAGGCCATGAGCCAACAACTGGAAAGAATGTTTAATCCTGGAAGCTCTGACACCAAAAGATCTGGGTTTTTTTCAGTGTGAAAAAGCTTAAAGACTGCTTATTCACTCAGTCTTTAACAAGTGAAATAACTATCTGGAGGGTTTAGGGCTTGCTAGTTTTATGATGTTATATAAAACATAACATCTTATTCAGATGTTACCCAGATTCATCCTTGTGGGTATCCTGAGCAACAGGGAAAAAAAATTAAACCTGTGTCAAATTTAAACAGCTCTTTTAAAATAGAAGTAAATTAGGAGACATGAGTTAAAGTAGTATGTGCTGAAGACAAGAAGTTATTTTAAAAATTATTTTATGTTTCTGTAATTTCACAACTGTACAGCATAATATTACTGAAACCTGCAGAACAATCATCTTGAAAGTGAATTGTGAGTTTAATTTAGTGTCTTAGTAAGCATCACACGGATTAGTGCTGTATTTAATAGAGATGATTTTCCTTGTATTTCTCACACACATGGAAGGAACCTCAGGTTTCTGGCACTGGCCAATGATGTTTTCTGGGTATTGTCTCCCATAGATATTCCAGACAGGAATGCCAGCTTGATATTTCAGCTCCCACTGACTTTCAGAGCACTCTGGCCATCCCCAGAGTGAGGCATGGGCCAGGGTGTCCTGCAGTAAATAATTCTGTAGAGATGTGTATTGCTCGCTCTTCAAAAAATTTGACTAGAATGGTAAAATAATTTGGTCACTGAGGGGCAGAGGAAGAAAGTTTTGGCCTTTAAGTAGTCAGGAAGTAAACTTGAGATTTTTCAGTGTGAGTTGTAAAGTTGGATATAAGACAAGCAAGCAATCTAGTAAAACTCATTGTAAAGCCAGATTCACAGCTGGCTACTTAGGGAAACTTAAATTGTTTCAAATAATGATTAGGAATAATGTTTTGG